GGTTTTAATAATTAAAATGTTAAAAAATAATAAAAAAATCTAAGTACTCTTAATAAATTAACATTAAAAAAGTTTATTAAAAATATTTGAACAATATAAAAAGAGGTTTTAATAATTAAAATGTTAAAAAATAATAAAAAAATCTAAGTACTCTTAATAAATTAACATTAAAAAAGTTTAATGGACTCAGCTCGACAGGTTAGGCGGAATGAGTGGGCTTAGCAGGTTGGGCGGGTTATGGCAGGTTATAACGGGTTAATTGGTAAAACAGGTCAAGGTATGCAACCGGCCCGTTTTTAGGCCCGGGTCCTGTTTAACCGGTTCAACCTACCGGGCCGGATCGATCCAAAAACACTGATTAAAATCATAAAATTTAACTTTATCTTTTTGAAAAATAAATTTTATAATATTACTTAAAAAGTAATTTATGGGGTATAAAAATAAAAATCTATAAAAGTAAAAATATGCAAAAAATTTTCACCAACACTATAAAAAAGTACTACATAAAGAAATAAAAAGAGAGTCTAAATTTAAAACAAGTAAATGCATATGTTTCAATAAATACTTACAGTCTAATAAATCCATGAAAAATAGCATAAAGAAAGTAAAATTTTGAAATAAATTGGGCTTTGTGTTTTTATGAATGTTTTTATAAATATGTTACAATTCATAATAACATAAAATTCAAGTCAGATTAGATAAAAATAATCGAGTTTTATATTTTTATAAATATATCATAATTTATAAAAATATAAATTATAAATTTTTTTATTATATACGGTTTTCTGAAGAGACTTGTAGAACGAAAAAAATTTCTTACAAAATTTCACAAAAGAAGTTGCTTCTATTTCCACCCTACAAGAAAAAATATTCACCAAATCTCCACCTCTACTATAGAAATCTCTACAAAACTCCACAACAATTTCATAGCAAATTGCCATCCTAAGACCGAACGTTTGGGGTGAAGCTCAAGAGAGAAGTAGAAAGGGAAACTGGAATGAAATAAAATGTCAATTTGTGCTTGAAATTTTTTGAAAGTTGAATAACTATTAAATGTGTGAAATGTACTATAAATTTTAATTTTATTAAATTTATTATATAATAATTATTAAATATTTTAATAATTTTTAATATCAAAATGTTTTATTTTTTTATTCTCATCTACAAATCAACCTACAAATTATTTAATTTTCTTCTAGTAAGGCCCATCTAATCAAGCTAACCCATTACATTTCCCTAAACTGCGTTTTACTTTTATGCATTCTAGAAGCTGCTTCTTTTGCTTTTTCTCGACTGCGCTTTATTCCTCTTCCCTCATGGCGTCTACAGTTCTGTTTAACGGATGCTTAGTGATTTCAGGCGTTTCGTTTGTTTGGCGGTTTTGATTTTGGCAAATCAGGCAAATTACCCCCTAAACTTGTTGAGAGATGGCAAAAAAACCCCTAAACTGAAAACAGTAGCAAATGGCCACTTGGACTCGTCAACGGTGGCAAATCAGTGTTTCTCTAACGGCTAATGTCATCATTCCGTCCAAACTTAACCGGGTTCATGTTTTTCTAGGGTTCACTGTCGAGCTGGACTTGATGTAGCCCTTTTTATTTTATTTTATTTTATTTTATGTTCCTTTTTAACATTTTTATGAACTTGATATTAATAAAGTAAATTAAATAAAGATTTTTGGTTAAAACTCCTTTTTGGTCCCTGAACTATTGTATGGACCCCCGATTTGGTCCCTAAACTAAAAAAATCCCTGATTTGATCCTTACTGTTTACCATTTTTACCCCGATTTGATCCTTCCGTTAAAAATATAGTGACGTGTACTGTTAACTAACGGGAACACGATGACATGTCATCTAATAATCCACGTGGAAGATAATATAGTCAAAAAGTGATGATGTGGAAAAAATAATAATATAAAAAAATATTATGAAAAATAAAAATAAAATTTTTTTTCTTTTTTCTTTTTTCTTTTTCTTTCTCCGTCTCCTTTCCCTTTCCCTTTCTCCTTCCCTTTTCCCTTATCTTTCCCCTCGGAACCCAGCAGGCCTGGGTTCCTTGCGAACCTAGCACACTTGCCTGGGCTGGGTTCCTTGCGAACCCAGGGGTTACGCCTGGGTTCCAACCCACGTCGGAACCCAGGCGTGGGTTCGCCTGGGAACCCAGGGGTAAAAAATATATATATTTTTTTCTGTGGTTTTGGTGTTTGATGATGATGTGTTTGATGATGATGAAAAAAGCAAGGCAAGGAAGAGGAAGGAAAAAAAAAGGGCGTTGTTGGGTTCGATTCAACCCAGGTGCTGGTTTTGTTTAGTGCTGGGTTTGTTTGCTGGAGGAAGAAGATGATGGCAAATTCGTAATTTTGGTGGGTCTCACTTTTGTTGGGTTGGGCAAGGAGATGACATGTCACGTTGCCATGTCATTATTTATTCATTTATACAACTGACGAGTCTCAAAGGTTTGACATGTCATTAAATTGTCGTGAGATAACGGTGAGATTTTAACGGAAGGACCAAATCGGGGTAAAAATGGTAAACAGTAGGAACCGAATCAGGGATTTTTTTAGTTCAAGGATCAAATCGGGGGTCCGTACAATAGTTCAGGGACCAAAAAGGGGTTTTAACCAAGATTTTTTAACTTAACTTCTAATTTATATTTTTAAGATACAAATTAAAAATATATTTATTATATATTTTTATCATTAATTTATATGAAAAATTAAGAAAGTAAATTTTATTTTTAATATTAGTGTCATGTAAAATAATTAAATTGGATAGTTAATAAAATTAATGTTAATCTTTTATATAAATTAATAGTAAAAAGTAAATATATCCTTAACTTATACCTTTAGAAGATAAATTAAAAAATTGTTTAAAAGAATAGGTGGCAAAAAAATAAAAAAGAAAAAATAAATTTAATAATGATTTTTCTAACTTAAATGTAATTAATACATCTTTTAATAATTAATTTATGTAATTTTTTAATTCTCAATTTCTCTTCCTTGAAACTTGTTTCTTTTTAGTTAAATTTCAAATTTACAATTAATTCTTTAAAAATTTTAGATTGAGAAAATTTTTCATGGGTGAAAAGAAATACTATTTAATTATAAAACAATCCTATAGTGACTAAAATTTTTTATTTTTGTTACTTTAACAAGTGACAATTGAGATTTAATTAATCTAATTAATTTTCATTGTAACTAATTAAATTTTAATGTATGCAACTAAAATTACAATAATTAAATTTTAATAGAATATTTAAGAGATTTGAAAATATTAATGATTAATGACGCGAGGTCATATTAAATTTTAATAGACCACATAGCGTTCAAGTAAGTTGTGAAATCCATTATAATAAAAGAATCATTAGTTCTAACAAACTACTAACATGACAGTTAAAGAAAGGCTGATTTGTCACTGCTCATGAATTTAAGGGATACGTGCGTTATTGATTTCAATTAAGGGATTTTTCGCTACCATTTGATATATTTAGGGGATAATTTGCATGATTCGCCTTTAATCTTATAAAAATTTGAAGATGTGTATGTGGTTTTTAACTGCTAAAAATTATGCGAATTGGATGATGAGTGGTTTCTCTTATTTTAAAAAAACTAGTTAATAGCCTGAGCAATGCCCGGACCCTTGAAATTAAAATAAAATAAAATAAAAATTTAATATTAAAAGGAAATTAGTAGTGAAAGGATATATCATTACTTAAAAGAAAAATATAACACTGAGTTCTAGGGAATTTAATCCCAATTATGTCAATGTCAATCTCACAATATATGCATATTTAATTGCTTAGGGATACAATAAAAAACAACAAAATACTCATGATGTTGTGTCTTATTATAGCCATAGTATTAACTGCCATATATGATTCACAAATAACATGGACGACACAACCTCAATGTAAGGAATCTGCTATAGGAGGTTTTCGCAATCAAAATTCAACTTGAAGAAATGAGAATTGTCTCATGTTACATAACACATTATCAAATGTGTTTTACAAGAATACATTTACAAAAAAACAATGTAAACTAAATCAATACCTCAAAAGTATATTGTAATGAAGTTCACCCACAATAAGGCTAGTGAAGTCTAGCAATTAAACTGACAACAAAAGTTATGAAGCTTGTAGCAAAGCTCAAATAAAAGTACAGTTAAGTAGGTAGAATAGAATTAATAGCAAGTAAACTTTCTTTAAGATATCTCTTTATACTAATTCAAAATTTAAAGAAGCATTTCTTGTCATTATCCAATCTGTCTTTCTATGCAAAGTGCTGTTCTTATTAAGTATCTTTTAAACTATATTCAAACTTCCTTCACCAAAATAGAAATGCTCTTATCAATTCATAGTCACTAAAAAGTCAATGTAAAAAGCAGTAAAGTCACTAATGAATCGTAATATCCTACATACATACACTTTATACTGCTAGTTGATTTTGCATCTATACTTCTAAACAAATTCCCAATTCTAGCCACCTTTAACATATGCAATTATGTATTGCATTTTACATGTTGCATTTTATTGTCTCCATGATACCTACAAAGGAGAAGGAAATAAACAGAGGCAAAGTAAAATGGTAAATCCCATAGCCTTAGGTTTACGTGCATCCAAGAAAATTCAGTTACAAACTATTTATTAAAAGATAAGGAAAATTCTAAATAATCAGAATGTTTTCTACTCAGAAAAATAGAGTTACTAACCAAAACCA